AGAAGTGCATATCAGGTCAACTCCTGAAAAATCCTCTTTTTTTCTTATAAGATGGGCCAAACTACAAGCAGAATTGTGGAATTATTTAGTACCATATTGGCACAGGCAAGAGTTTCTACCACCCCCTTAAGAGCCTCCCTATTTAGAACTTCTGATCTTGGAAGATTTTCTTTCCAAAAATTGTGTGGTATTGGAGTGTTCAGCCTCTAGATACTGACCTGAAATGAACCACACTGGCAGCGGTAAAGCCTGAAACAGTGGAAGCATAAGAAATCCCTTCCCTGAATGGACTGGACTTCCAAAGAAAGAAGTCTGAAAGAGTTCTGTTTAGGCTATTTTTCACCCATCCGCTACATAATCTGAAACCTGAATGCAGAAGTCTGGCACAGAGAGATCACCAGTTGCCATGAGCCACAACCACAGAAGTGGAACAGAAATAAAAGCTGTAATTTGACTAACTAGGTCTATGTAGCCTCATGGATATCAGACTTAGAATGGATAGAAAAGCCAATTTCTTTCAAATTATCATTCTTGGTAATTTATCACGGTGTACTTATAACCACATTCAAAGCCATGCTGAATAAAATTTCATTGCAGTTTTCTGTTATGCAGAACCTGGTTAATTTTGCATGGAGCACAATGGTGGTGCTCACATGGCTGCAGCTGGAAAGGTAAATATTAAAATAGAAGATGTAGTGGGAAAAAGGCTGTAAAGAAGCCAAATGAACAATTCAATAATACATGATTGATGTGAAGCACCCAATCCTCCAGCCAAATTCATGCTGTTGCAAGAACTTAGTAACAAACATTTTGAGCTTTTAGTCCTTGAAAGAAACAGTTTCTACATTTACTAGGGTTGTTTGGTTATGGGGAAAAACAAATGAAACAAAAAAACATTTCACCTATGTAACCTTTTGCAACTTTCACTTTTTCTCGATTGATCTTGCTAACCAAAAGCTTTTACTTCTGTCCTCTGGGCTCAAGATGAACTGTGTGAGTTTGAGCTTTAGTTGGTTTTGAGGGGTTTTTTTTTTTCCTTTCAAGACTAGAAATAACACAAAGCTCTTAAACATATTTGAGTCCTTGTGTGGGCCCTCGTGGTTACTTCATGCAAAATAAAGGAGGTTGTAATCAGATTCATCATGGATATTGAAGCTCATGAAAGAAATTACTGATTTATCACGGGAGCAGATTACGGTTGGAGTTTGATGCCTAGGCTCTGAGTTTATCACTACCCACAAATAGAACATAGAAATTGGAGAGGGATGATTGAACATCCCCCCCGGGGCCTACAGGTGGATGCTGGGGTGGTGGAGGGGTTGAAACAGCAGGGGGTAATGAAGGGAAGTATTGGCACTGAAATGCCAGAGGGAAAGATGAAACGAGTTTGAATACAGCACCAAATTGGGAAGTTGTGCTTGGTTTGTGACAAGTGTGGTGTATTGGGTGTACGTGCAGTGCAGCTCCAGTTGCTTGACTAATCTCACAGGCTACACTCCATCGAAGAA